GCTATTTTGTTGTGGGTCACTATGGACTGAATTTGCTCAGTGTAGCCAGTACAAATGGATATAGTTGCAGGTGTAAATAACTGTAGCTCTCAGTAAATGTTTATTCCTGTACAATCGTGCCTGGTAGGACACATTATGCGTGTATTTCTAACGATATAGATTTTATTCTATGAATATAGGCCAGCTTGTATTCTGTTGATTTTTTTTTACACACAGTCTTTTATTCCCACTTTTACTATGTATTTAGACAGACTGCAATGTTTTGTAAATAGTGCGCAGTCTCTACTAAGAGTATTCGTGTCATATCAGAAATCCTCGTATGAACTAGTTTGAACGAAAAGGGTTTCCCGTTAGTTGCTGCCGTAAAAGACACTGCGAGGCCTTGAAGAGTTAATTTGTTGATCGCTGCGGTGGGCTGCGAGATCATTCGAGAGTGCATTTTCAGCAGCCAATCAGCAGGCAGACTCGACACCGTATTTAGCCAATAGGGCGAATGGAAGGCTCTATCGAATTTGAATGAGACAAGTCTTTCGGCGCCATTTTCGAGTGAACAGCGATTGCCTCGACAGCTGCGGGTAGAGGATGCTGCGAATGTAGAAAGCTGTTCCGAGACGGGGGGGGGAAGAGAAACCAAGCGCTCAAAAACTGCGCTTTTAGAGAAGGAGTCGTGTTATTTCAACGGAAACACAGGTAATTGTAGCCTCAAAATATTTAAATTGATTTAACTGGAGTGCACGAACGGACTTAAGGCGAGGAGTACGTGGAAAAAAGACCGCGGAGGGGAGACGTTAGCCATTTGGCCAGCTTTGTCAGCTTGTACTTCTTTAGCAGCTAGCCTACTAGCTTAGCGTGCTAGCACGTAGAGAGGGATATCTGACTTTGCTGCACTGTAACGGTGAAAAAAAAACGAGAGCGGGTCGTTTTAGTCAGGAGATGAGGAGGAATTATTTGGGTAAAAAAAGACTTGATGGGAAATTATACCACACTGAAGACGCGCTTCAATCGATTGTTATTAATCAAAGTGAAACTATAATGGACTATTTATTTTGCACTGGAGCTCAGTTTTGAGCGGGAGGTGTAAAAGCTGCCAAGCTGGAACAGAGGCGAACTGCATTCGGCAGTGTCAACAAATGCACACGGCACCTACGCTGGCTTAGGAGGGAAAAAAAAACCCGAAAGGAGACCGGAACAGACACAGTGCTTTTTGTAGGAACTTAATTTGACCAAGCTTTTTAAGTTAAGACAGGCGTTTTTTCCGAGCTGCTAAACTGCATGTGTGATGTTGGAAGTGTTTTGTGGATCGTTAGACAAAAAACACCTGGTAAGTTTATTATTATATCCCTGTATGACCTATATCCCTGTAATGCCCGCAATAATAATGACGGAGTTTTGTTTTATTTCCCTATCTCTGTCATGAAGTGGCTACTAGAGTTTTTTTTCTGTTTGTTTGTTTCTGGCCGTTACTAGTGACAGGTTGTGTTATAATGCAACTCCGATGACTAAAAATATGACTTTATCTTATCTAGAGTTGAGTACTTGCTTTAAATTTGTGCCTGTCAATATATTCTAATGCCTTAGATTAATGTAAGATGATCCGTGTGGCTCTTAGCCAAGGGACAACAATCATAACTCGCGACATGATGTTTCTACTTTAATAGCTGTGTTAAAGGTTTGACGAATGGCTGTCACAGCCACTAACGAAGCAATAAAGTTGAGGTAAGGTTAGATTTACAAAATAAAAACGAGGAATTGGTAGTTGTGGTGATTCCCGTGGCATGCTGTAATGTTAGGGTATTCGGTTCATTGTAGTTTGATGTAAAAGACTTGGAGCCACTGCTCGCTGCCTCCCTTTGCCCCTTCCTTTCTGCTCTTACTAGCGTCGCAGCAGTTTCTGTGTGCCATGGACCCTGATTTGATTCAAATAGAGTGAACCGGGGAGGGGAAACTGCGTGGTCTAACCTCTAACGAGTGACCGAAAAAATGGGCCCAATCATGACGGGTAGGGGCTATTTTGTGACCTTTTTTCAGTATTATATTTATTTAGTTTTTAAAAACGAACAGGACTACTCGAGAAATAAAGCATATTGAAGGAAAAGAGAGGCTCCATATAATTGCGCGTCTGAACCCGCCCTTCTACTTCCTTCCAAGTCGAGATCGGTTTAATATGTTACATAATGTGAGGCCTTCGTATCTTTTGCAGTGTAGCCTTTATTCATACAACTACGTATTCACATTAGTAAACAGGTGATCTTGCTTAAGTTTATTTGGAAAAAAAAACTCTTTCAGATGAGGGATCTACAGAGTGTAGGCACCCCTTTCCATTTTTCTTGAAATGCATATTTTTTTCTAGGGCCATGTCTTACTAATAGCATTTTCCCTGGATTTTTATTTTGTCACACATATTCTGCAGCAGTAAGTAAAGAATTGTTTTAGGTTTGCATGACTTTGAATGAAAATGTAACTAAATGGTTGGAAACAACAAAGTTGTCTTCTGTGGAATTGCATATTACACCCATAGTATGATAATTATTGTAGAAGTGGGGCAGCATTTTTAAATGATTATTAATTTATTTATTTTTATAGTGAAACTTCTAAACCAAGATTTTGTATATTTTTAAGGGTAATTGGGTTGTGGAAATGAGGGAAAGCCCTTTCAAAGAGACATCAGAGCAAAGAAGTGAAGGAGGAGAAAATTACTGTACAGCATCATCTGGTGTGTCAGGCTTACAAGAATAGTAGAATTTGTGGGATTATGAAACTCTTTGAATAGTACGACTTAAAATGTGACAGGCATGTGATCACCCGTGTTGGGAATAATGCAGTACCACGTAGTGTACGAAAAACTGGAACTCTATATTTAAACCAAGTTCCCATTTCATTCTACTGTAACTGCCAGTTTGAAATTACAGGTTTTAAAAATGTTTCATTGATAATTAAACCATATGTTACTCCTACAGTGTCAAAAAGGCTAATTGGGTCACTACACTTGAGCAGAATTAAAGAATGGGTGTAAAGTAGAGCTTGGACAATGTAGGCATTTAGACACCTAATTGTAAATATTTAATGGGATTCTTAACATTTGTCTATCTGCTTATTTCGTACTAAAAGTTGAAACTGTCAGCCTGTCATGGTGTCAGTTTAGCCAGAGAGGCAGTAAGTTTTTAAGCTATTTAGTCAAATGTTTGTAATACTTTAGGTGGATGAGGGTATTGCTGAGTACTTGGTTGTTAAAGTGTAATTATAAAACAAAGTCACACTGAAAATGTTTTGTTTCAAAAATCGAAAAGTGATAGTGATTTTAAATGACACTTTGTTTCAGTGTAGATTATTATGAAGTGTTTACAATATCTAATTTTGTCTAGTTTAGTTGAAGTGGGCTTTAATGTTACTATATTAGCTGCAGCATGAGTAGTTATTTGTGATATTAGTATTGAAGGGGGAAAGTGAGAAATTGCACCTCTAATGTCTAGAAGAGAGCAGGCAGCACCTTGTCAAAGTGAAATTTTATGATCAAAATATAGTATCAAAGTAATATTTGGACTCTTGCTTGCTGGTAACTAGGTTTTAAAATGTTTCTAATGTGCTCATATAGGTAAAGTGGGTGTAAATATTTACCTCATTCTTTTTCATTTTAGAGTTACAATGCAGCATTATTCTACCACCCCTCACAATCCCTTAAAAAATATTAATGCAGTGCCTTCAGTTGATCTCTATTAAAAGCTACAGGTTTATGTTTCCTCCGTTCTGTGGTATTTGCCTTTTCACACTCTTTGCAGAGCACCGATGTGCTGTTTCAGACATTCTGTGACTCATCATTCTTCAGACCCCTCTGGCAAAATAGGCTCCCACCCCCCATTTCCTGATAAACTGTGACTCTCTACTTGTACTTGCTCACATGTGCTGTAGCCAGACTGCAGAGAACCCCCACCCTTCTCTCTCTTTTTTTTTTTTTTTTTTTTTTCTTTCTTGCAGTGCAAAGTTGATAGTATTCAAATTTGCTGTGATAGGGACAGCTTTCGATCTTTCTTTTTTTCTTTCTTTCTCTCTTTTTTTTTTTTTTTTTTTTTTTTTTTTTTTTTAAACACTTACTCGAGGAGTTGGCCTTGGCTTCAGCTCTGCACCATTAAATAGAAGCTGTCAAATGGTCAGTCACTTTTCTGGAACAGTTTTAAGCACTGGTCATTCTAGTTAAGCCTCAAGCTTAGATGTGATCTTTTGAGAATGTGTGCTGATTTGCATGATGATTTTTCTCTTTCTCTCTCTCTCGCTCTCTCTCTCTCTCTCTCTTCCATCCTCAAAAGCATATAGTTTAAGGCTGATGGTACTAGTTACAGCTGCTAATTGCCTTGCCACATCTTTAAATACTGCCCTTCTATTGGCTTTATTATTATTTTCTAAAAATGTATTTTTGCGTACACTAAGTGCTATAGTGCATATAGCCTTACATTTCTTTAACTAAAAAGTTGTAAGGTTAAGCAGTGTAAGGATTAATTAATCTGACTTTTTTTTAAAAATTGTCAGTTTTATGTATAATTGTTATCGTTTCATCACATTTTTTTTGTAAATCTGTTCAGTGGGGAAGTGCACTTTTGAGGTCATCCTAAAGTACGGTCATGTGTCTCGAACACTGAAGTGATTAGGCTGGTCTGTGTTCAGAATATTAGTCATTTTAAATGGTCCGGTACAGCTCTCTAAAACATGTATCTTTAAAAAAAAATATATATATACATTTATTTATTTTAAGTGAAGTTGTGCCTCAGACAGCACGTTTAGAAAGGTATCAGCTGTTACAATGCTAGGGAATAATCTACTTGATGATTACATTTTAGATTTTAGGTAAGTAATATGATAACCTGCTGCAGCACCACCAGTAAGATTAAACATGGCAAGAGTCTGCCTCCTGGTTAGACACATGGTGTTTTCATTGGTGTTTTTCTGTGGCACAAACTTTTTTTTTTCTGTTTTTTTTTTCTGTTTTTTTTTCTGTTTTTTTTTTTCCCCACACAAGGGTTATAGAGTATCTCACGGTATTAACTAGTATGCCGTCAGATTGAAAAGATTTAATTATCCAAAAATATTCAAGGCATTTTTATGTTATTATTTTTATTTTATTGCTCTAACACAAATTACACCTCACCCACTACCCCCAGTAAGGGGATGTGTTTGTGTTCACATAGACCAGATATTTTCATACAGTGTGACAAACAGTGTCTTATTTAGTTAATGTTAAGTTTTAAAACTATTTTGGTTTATTTCCAACAGTAATATAAACCCATGTAATTTTGGGTTTACTGCTTTATCTTGTGTCGATTCACTGGTGTGTAACTGTCACTCTAGCTGTAAGCAGATAAGTCGAGCCTAATAAGGAACCTGGTGAAAACGACAATCATTCTTGTAATGTTTTGGGGTTTTTTGTTTTTGTTTTTTTAACAGACTTAAAACACACAATAATCATAATACACTGTTTGTGTATTTATTTTTTTTATTTGTGTTGTTTAAAGTCAGCCAACTGTAGCAAAACTTTACATTTTTTAAAAGCCTTATTTTTGGCAGATAAGACTTTTGCTTGTGTTGTGTGCTTAACTTTTTATTTTTTTAAAACACTGAACTAGGACAAGTTACTAAATTTCACCTAGACATTTGTGCTTTAATAAGTAAAACAACAAAAACAAGTATAGTCTGTTTGTGTAATTGCTGCATGAGTGTATGGGTGTGTGATTCAACTCTCTCTCACTTTGCCTTTCCTTCCTCTTTTTGCCCCTCTTGCATATGTAAGCATGCACATTCAACATACATGCTTACTTAGATCCTAATTTCAGTCTTACTCATCGATCTGTAAGTACTGCTTGAGTGTAATGAAAAAACTTCAAGCAGCCATTTTAAAGGTTGTGGTAGTTGGGATTTTTCTTTCATTTTTTTAGTATTATTTTTTTTCAGGGTAGTTGGAGCCCAAGGTTTTCTTAACTAACCTCATGCTGTTGGTCAACTATAAATCGGGTTCTCAGGTCGAACTTTTGATATTGCATCACAGTTTACAGCATTGTCTGCATCCTGTTTATGGCTGCTCTGTCTTTTGCGACAGGAGGAGCAAACTTGAGAGAGTTCAAGTATAGGAGTAAAAAACTGGAGAGACCAGAAATGTATTTGGGTAGTACTTAGTGGTACTCAGTTGAATTACTGTTTATATTGTAGTTCAGGTACAGCAGTTGTTTGGATTAAATATTTCACCACACATTGTGGACGTGCTTGTATATTTAGATGACAGACACTGCTGTTTGGCATGGGGGAGTCTTACAGTGTGGTCCGTACTTTCTCTGGAAGTGGTTAAAAATGGCTTTAACTATAAAAAAAACACTTAAAAAAATAAATGAATGGAACGATGAGTCAAATTAAGCTTTGCATATTAGTTGATTGTTGTTTGCACCAAATTAGTTTGTTTGAAAAAATATTGCTGGAGCTTCTAGGGAATCCCAGTCACTGCTTTACATGTGTGAGTGGCCATGCAAATGTAACTGGCTTTTCTTGAATTAACACATACTGTCATTACAGTGCTTTTTTTTTTGTTTTTGTTTGTTTGTTTTTCTAGAAAGGAACAAAGCAGTTCTTTATTGGTCGCATCCTTGGACTACTGTGAACAGTAAAACTATTCATCACCTTCTGAGTTGCTCTTAAACAGCTCTTAAAGGTAATCTGCCTCTTTTTTTTTTTTCTTTTTTTTTCTCTTTTTTTTTTTTTTCTTCCCCCCATGACAGTTGATACCTTTGTTATTTTGTGGACTGATCTATTTTGTGTGGAGATGATGAAAAGATCTCATGCTGTGTAAATATTGCCCAGTAGTTGGTGAAACATTTCATCATTAATTGTAAAGCTGTGGCACAGTGAACACAGTATATTTTTACCCTGTGCAGTTGTCTTGCCATATGCAGAACAACAATGATTTGGCTAGGCTAATCCCTGATGTTTATCTGGCTTACATGCTACATGAAACGGATTTGTAATTGGGTAAGGATATAGCTTGCTTGTAAAATGGAGAAGAAATGTCTTAGTGTGGTTCCATGCACTGTAACTCTGGGATGGCCAAATAGTTTTAATCAGTGATATTTTTGCAAAGATGGATGGATGTGATTGCTGTTCCCTGTTTTTTCGCAGTTGATGATTTCAATGCGGATCTCCCTTTACTTTGTGCTTATACTTGCAGAATACTCTGTAAAACAGACCAGAAGAGGCTAACCCAGACCACTTGATCTGGGGAGGTGATGGGTTGTCATGTCCATGTCCCTTTTGCCCTACTGGGTGTAGGAGGTTACTTGACCTTTCAACCTTGGGGTCAGGTGACTCTTTAAGGTCATTGTATGGGTAGCAAGTGTCTGTAGGAATGGGTTAAAAAGGCTGAGCAGAGAAGATGACATGTCCGGGCATGCTTCCTTTAAAGGAGAGAGAGAAAAATAGGGAGAGGTTGGAGTCAGTGATGTGAACAGTTCCACCTGGACTTGGAAAGAAATGATCAGCTTATAAGGAAATTGCACAACTTACCTGGTTTGTTTCTTTGTGTGCTTTTTGTTAAGTATTTTAGGTTTGTTTGATTGCAACTTCAGTGTAGATCAGGCTGTTCTGCAAAAAAAAATGGTGTGTACAAACTAAATATGAGATGAGAAAATTATACATGATTATTCTGCAGGAAAGTAGATCCACTGTAACAATAGTGGGCTGTCATTGTTTTTATAACTAGCAAAACCTTTTTGTAAATCAGTGAATTTATTTTTCTCACAAATTTATTTATTTTTTATGATTTTAAAAACAATGTCTGATGTCATTTCTCACCTGCAGCTTTGCAGAGCACACTCATGTCTTCTGTCAATTTATTTTATTTTATTTTATTTGAATGGCTATTGCAAGTTATTCCGTTTACAAAGTTTAAAAACGGCAAATCCCTGTGATCGGGAAGTAAGTGTGTGTAGCATTTCTGTTTGAAGACTAGTGTCTAATTTTTGTTGCACTCCTAACAGGCAGTGTGGACTTTATTAGCCTAGGACTAAAACAAGAATTTGCCCCACAAATCTGGCAATTGCACAGTCCTGGTTTGTAGTTTTAAATTAACAGCAGCTTCAAATGTCTTAAAACTCTGTTTTCTTGGTAACAATCTTATTTTTATTCTTTTTTTTTTTTTTTTTTTTTTGTCATTTAGGTGCAAAAATTTTTTTAGGTATGCATGATATCAACTGTAAAATTAGAATTGAGGAAGTGTTTAATTTCATACTGACTTGGCTTGTACTATGTTTTTTTTTTTTTTTTTTTTTTTTTTTTTTTCTCCCCCATGTGTTTTTTTTAATGTTAGGCAATAAGGGACATTATCTGTGAATTACAGGCTAGACTTCTACTTATAAACTGGGTAAGTAGAAGAGGAAAGTGGAAAGGGGGCAAAAAAAAATACACCACACTAAGTGGTCTTCACTGTTTTTCCACCCACCTGCCACTCTCAGGTAGGTCTGGCTGAGTTGTGCTGTTGCACCTGTGTTGACTACATTGGGTTATGCAATTGGGCTGTAATCATGAATGCCTCTCATTAATAAAGGTGTTTAATTTGCCTGAAGTCAGAATCACGCGATATCCTTTAGATATCAGAAACTTTGCGGTAATGGCACAGGAGGTAAAATCAACATTTCTTTGCAGGCTGGTATAACAAGTTTTAGTTTGCCAGTCATCATAGTTCAAGTTGCATCTGTTTAACACTTTATTGAGAAATACAACATGTTTGGGGATTTTTAAAGTCAAATTCAAATTAAAGACTTTTGTCTGTTACAGTATAACAGATGAAAGCAGTGCCTTTGTGCCACTATTGTTGTTATCCCTACTCACACCTTCATTATCACATGAAGAAAAATGTTTGTGGCTTTTCTTTTCTTTTTAGTCTTTCATGTGAACTAGACTGGAGTTTGTGTGAGAAAGAAAACAACTGCCGAACTTATCAGTGTCTTTTTGGAGAGGAAGTATGCAAGAGACTATCAGATTCAGGCTATCATGTCCATTTCAGACTAAGGTCATAATTACAGGTCCATTGAGACCTCTAGTGGTAACAATTGTTGGCCTAAATCTCCCATGGGATTATTATCGGGATAATGTTTGTTTTAACACCTTCTACATGTTTTAAGATTTAAATGTTTTGTTGACATTTACTACAGCAGCCTAAAACTTTTTACATCAAGGGTGGCACATTCTTCAGTTGAAATAACTGGAAGATATTTTATTTGCTGAGCTGTTGTGGGCAAATTGCTGCTTTTTCATTTGTATTTGCTTTCATCTACATTTCAGATGACCTATTGTGTGCTGGCTCCTGAAAAGGCAAAATATCTGTTAGTATTCATGTGAATTTTATATTTGTGGTCTCTCCATATGACCCCTTTTCTTTGTTTGAATTTTAATTTTTTAAAGTAAGCTATTATTCTTATTCTTTTGATTTTTCCCAATTTTTAAGATGAATTTTAAACCTAAGTTATTTTCAGTAGTTTCTATGGAGCATGAACAGTGAACTGCACTATATGCTAGCTTTACACTTGGATGTTTGAACATCTGCCAGTAGCACTAATGGGAGTGGAATGAAAATGCAACAATAGTTTGCAAGTTTACATTAGGGAGAAATGATTTCTGACTTTTAGAAAAGTGCCTTGTCAAATAGTTTTACACTGCTGACATAAATCAGTCCATGCCTTATTTGCAAGGGTGTAAATAAATAGTCATTTAATTTTGACTCCTACTTGTGTTTTTTAATAAAAGTAGATTGCAAAATCTTTAAACTTCAGATGTAACACTATAAGTACATTACGAAGTCTGTGGACATTGGTGCTCCTATAAGCTGCTTGGCTCAAAGTTGAGGGGAATCCTAATTGTAGAGCATACAATAATATTTCTGTATTTTAAATGTGGCAACAGTTTGGGGAATACGTCTTCTAGTTTCAACAGTGCTTCATGCATTGAGCAATATCTATAAAGAAATATATTTCCAAGTTTTGTGTGGAAGAACTCCACTGGCCTACACACAGCTCTGACCTCAATCCCTTTGAACAGCTTGTGGATGAACTGGAGGCCAACAGCTAGCCAAGGGTCCAGGCCTTATCATCCAGCATCATTGTCCGACCTTACATTGTGGTTAACTGGTGCAAATCTTGGCAGCAAGGCTTTGAAATTGTGATAAGTGATTTCCTGGAAGAGTGCAGCAGCTTAGTAATGCCCATACATTTTTGAGATGAGGCTTTCAACAAACGCAAGAGTGTGAAGCTCTCCTGTCCACATACTTTTCAGCACAAAGAACACTTTAATACTTAATGTTAATATTTTGAGAATGACTTCTGTATTATATTAAACCTTTTCTCTCTCTTTTTCTTTTTGTTTTGTGTGTTTCAGATGCCGAGTCTCCATGGCCACTTTAGGAGAAGACTGGAAACTTCAATCTGATTCTGGTGATCACCTGAATGTCTTTAGGTGGTTTAAATAATAGGTAATGGCTCTGTATCCATCCGTAAACATGTGCTAAGGATTAGAAGGCCAGAAGATGAAGACAGCGCAAATAACACAGAAGCAGAGACTGTTTTGAATGGAAGGACCGCAGCAGCAGTTCTGGTGATGTTGTAGCAGCACGGAATGGTTTGTGGGTTATACTGAGATGCAGGCCATACTGTGCTGCCGCACTAAAGCCTGAATATACTACATAGCTATTATCTCACAGTCTCTCCACCAAACATACTGTTGCAGTGAAAGCTTGAGGTAACAGGTAACGTACTGTCACTTTTGCATAAAACAGTAGTCTTTACTGACTTGAATTAATTTCTCATAGCCTTTCTTCTCCCTCCCCCCAGCTGTGATGAGAAAGTTGTTTGGGCTTCCCCATTCTCATTTTCTGGTCGCCTTACTGTAGCAGCACGTAAATATTGGAGTTAACACTCTAGCTGAAGTCTCCAGTATTGATCGTACTGCTGAAGCAAAGCGGGCCACTCACAATCACAGCAACTAACCACCACTGAGTGTACTCAGACCACTCAGGTGGTGGCAAACAGAGGCTGGCCTTTAGAAATGTTTACAGGTACAGGTTGACTCACTGATTCTTACTTAATGTCTATTCCATATTGTATTGACATGTAAAATATGTATACTACATTTTATTACACTTCACTATTATGTGTAAACCTTTTGAGAATAAAAACGTTTTAATTCTGTTTTGTCTGCAGTGTGTTTTCAAGTTGTTATGCTAAACTTTTGTCGGTGTGGTGTGTTTAGTAGTCTTTAGTTTAAGGGACAGGAAAAGCGTTTGTGTTCCTGATAGCGGAAACTATTAACGAGGCTTTAAGAAGCGCCGCCGTCCTTGGAGAAGAAATGCTCACAATGGCCTGCGTGGCCTTTCTGCAGCGCTGCTGGGATATTTGGGCCTATTCAGCAAAGCGCAGTGACAGATTTGCTTCGGATTCAAATCGTTACAATCATGCTTGGATTGTCGCCCAAACACCAGGAGTGCTTCTGAAAAATCAAGATGAATTCACTGTCTGTAGTGTGTTTAAAAAATTAAATAAAGAAAAAGAAAATACGGTTTTTAATACAATTTGGGCTCAGTTTATTCGATAGTTGTTGTTTTTTTTTAATAACTTGCTTATAGCGGTCAGAATTTACCTTATATTCTTTTGCATTATAACTGCCTTTATATTTTTAATCTATAGCGATATATTTTGTGCACTAAATCTGCAGTTGTGCTCGGGCGGCGGGCTAAGCCCTCCATTTTAAGTCCTGCCAGGATGATGCTGACGATGATCCAGATTCAGACTCATAAATAAAAAGCGTTTAACTTCGATTTACAGGCCTTTGGTATAGGATCGTTTAAGCTGGTTAATATCTGTATTCTTTCAAAACATCACGTAGGCTTTATGTGAATGTATAAATTAGAAAAGATTAATAGAGAAGTTGAGTGCGTTGTTACACTCCTCTGTAAAGTTATACATACCGGACCTTTCCGTTTTTTTTAAAGTTTGTATGAAACACAAACTAAGTGCTTGCATTTTCTTTCTTTTTTCCTTGGGAACAGTGAATTCTGTCTAGTCCAACATTTCCCCTTTTACTGACGAAACGCAGCTGCAGCAGTTTCCTTCCATTTGGCCTTATGCGCCTTTTGTTGTTATTATTATTATTAAAAGTTCAGAAAATCACGTATTTATGAAACTAAGAGAAAAATTGAATTGGTGCATTTAACAAGGGTGATATTTATGAATTTTTAATAAAAGTTTCAGGGGTTTTATTATCCCTGATTTATTTCTTTGCAAGAACTTTTGAGTTTTACGAAATTATACAAACAATATAACCCTCCTACTTGTATATACACATTAAGCATATTTTATACCATTCATACGGATTTACTAAATTATCTATAATATCTTAATCTTTAATATTGCCAAGACTATACGGTGGACATAAAACAGGTGTGTGTGTGTGTGTGTGTGTGTGTGTATTGACAGGGTAGGTGGGAAAGGGGAAAAATGTTACTTATAATTTTGGAAATATTTATATCTTGTCTTTCTAAATGCTATGATTTAAATGCTCAGTGTTGCATTTAAATTCCATTATTTTGCGCATTGGAAAAGCAACAGACTCCGCACACATCAAAATGTGGAAGCAGCGATAATCGATGTGCAGTCTGAAATTCCCTATAGTGACTTAGAATTGTTTATATATGCATTTTTATCACTGCTGGTATTTTAAAAAAATGCATATTTACCTGCTTATACCTTTCGACGCATTTTATTACCTTTGCCTACATTAATATACGGCTGTACATTAGTTCCCATATCCACCCCCACACCAAGAGAAATTGGTTCCTGGGTAAAATTTGTACCCGCTAATGAGAAAAATAATGGGAAAACTCATTATTCAATAAACAGCAATTTAAAAAAAATTACAATGGGGTTTAAAAACGTCCCAGAGTGCTGGAAATGCTCCAGAAATGTGATATTTGCTACACTGAAAAGATTATTCACAAATTATTTGAGTATTTAGTGACCGCCGATTGTCCAGATGAGAGCTTGGAGTTTTTTATTCTCACTTTTGGTATAAAGCGGCTGACCGTGCGCTGTCTTTATGGCCGTGTTAAAAAGTCAGTTATACAGCCGCCCAGTAGTTTTGTTTCATTTTTATCTAGTTAACATTTAACAGGCTGTGTTTATATTTGCGTGAGATTAAAATTAAATATTAATAGAGACTCCTACTTTTATACCCATGCTTTATTTGCCTGGCAACAGAAAGCTATATATATGTACATGCGTGCCATGACGTAGATCCTGAATTATGGTCAGTGCTGACATCACTGATTCGCTTTGTGGCGTGATCTTATGGAGTCTCCCTCTCCAAAATGCATATAGGGAATACATAAACAACAGGATAACTGATCTTTAGTCACAATCCACTGTCTTTTTACTCTGATCCATTAAAAAAAAGAAAAAAAAAGCCAAGTATCTGATTTGAGTTAACCCAGATTAATTCAATTTAACCACGTGTTTTGAGTTTTAGGCCTCAAAGTTACTTTCATTTCTATTCAGACGCACAGCAGAAAACCAGAGAATATACACACTTCTATTAATTACCCACTCTGCAGGATTGACTTCACTGTCTGGACACAGTCATGCAATGAATGAGTCGCATAACAACAACAAAAAATAGTATGCACGACTGCCTGCAGATCTATGCTCTGACAGAGACCTATAAGGATGTAAGGTTTCATCCACACACGTCAACGAGCGGTGTGATCACCGGGAGCTGCGGTGTCTGCAGCCTGCTGAATTTTTCACACGGGCCCTGTTATGTAACGCTTATAACCTTGAAGAGGCTGCAGCATCACTATGGCGCAGAAGCCTCTGTGGGAGAGAGGCCGTGGATCACACTGCATTCTTTCATTACGCACTTGCTTACTTCATCGAATTGCATTTACATGTATACATTTGGAAAAAGCAGCCCGTTCTGAGCTGTCGCATTAAATAAAAACAAAGAGTTGACTCAAAATTCTCAGATTTATTTGTGAAAATCACGTTGAACAAATATGAAATGATTTTTTTTTCTTTTTTAGGAAAAAAAAAGGAATCGATTGCACATGGGAAAAAAAGTGAATTGGTGTTTACTTGATGAAAAGACTATAACCTCAGAGGATTAAGGGTTGATTCGTTTGATTCTATGGCTTCATCGAGGTTGCAGCTTGTTCAATAAGGCAAAAAACAAACAAACAAAAACAACTAATGTAAACAATTAGATGTTTTAAAGTACTCGCTAGAGTTTTACATCTCACTTGTCATGTGTAAATTATCTGACAGCTGTGAGTTAACGCTATCTAGTTAGTGGGTAATTTATAACTGTCAATAAAGCGGGCAGTAGAGTCGATTAACTGCATGATATATTTCTGACCTGCATCAACCACATCTATGTAAATGTCCTTGATTTCCTGGAGGCACGCACCGGTATGTGCAAAGAGAGAGAAAAGTGCAGCGAGAAGTGATTCAGCCTCCCTGGTCACACACGCTGTGAAGGTGTGCGGCAGCAGCAGAGACAGCACCACCGAGCTGATAAGTGTGAGGATAAGAATGCTGATCCATCTGGGCACTGCCATGCGTTTGTTCCCTATTCGGTAGGAGCCACTCTCGTGGGGGACCGACATCCTGTCCACTTCCCTGAGCCTCAATGAATCCCAGTTTTTAACGTCGAAATTACGCACAAGGGGACCGACGTCCATGTCTTTCCGAGACGGCAGTGGAGTATTGTTAAGCAGCTTTAACTTGTCCCGGAACTCTTGCATCTGCTGCAGAAAGCACAGGGTGTCGGAAACGCTCCCGAAAGACCCAGCGATGCTGAGCGCGCGTTTCTGCTCCTCCAGCGCTGCGCTCAGCTTGCTGATCTCCGGGTCGTATGCTTGCATCACCACCAGCTTTAGTGTTTCGAAGTCGGACATGATCTCATTCTTTTTGCATTCAAGGGCACTGATGAGTTTCTCGAAATAGTTTTTTACCTTCTCTGCGTCCTTACTGACCGACAGAAGCGCCCTTTTCTTACTGGCTTGTAGTGTATCCAGGCAGGACAGGTAATCTGCGCTACGCCAGTTCTTCACCCCGCAAAGCAGCTCATCAAACGCCTTCTTTTCCCGTTCATACGCATCCTCCAAGGAGCAGAACTTGTGCCCTTCGTGGTCATTCGTCGCTGCGCAAAATCCACATATTAATTTCAAGTCGGTGGCGCAAAATATGTTAAGAGGCTGACCGGAGTGTTGTTTACATGCAGACATTTTGGGTATAACCTTTATTTTGCTGAACTTCTCAACTATCCCGCGCAGAGAGTAGTTGATCTGCAGGCTGTTTGCGCCGTTGTGGGGGGTCTCTTTGCGGCAGGTGGGGCATTTGAAAGGTGTCCTAAAAGCTGGACCTCGATTCCCCTCCAAGAGTCCCTCCAAGCATTTCTTGCAAAAGCTGTGTGAGCACAGCAAGACCCGCGGGTCCTCGAACAGACCGCAGCAGATTGGGCATGTAAGTTCCTCTTCTAGCTGCTCCATTGCACCCTGCAAACACATCATCCAGGCGTCAAATCGATACTCAATTTAGAAAACAAATGAAAAAACAAACCAACAACAAAACAAAAACCCAACAGCAAAAAAAGGACACGATAAAACGCACTACACAATACGCACCCACTAAGGGATGCCTCCCCATAAGGCAGAAGATGCAATATTTGAACACGAAAAACAATGATGCAGCATCGCAAAGGATACAGATTTGGCTGTCACGTTCCAAATGTGTGTGGAATATCCCCATCCCGAAAGTGAAACCGACTCGGATCCCTGTACGCGCGTAAAAGCTTGGATTGAGCTCTGCCAAAAGCTCCGTTTGAGCAATTTGGGTCATGCAACATCCTGATTTTTGATGTATCTCAGTTGCCAGTTGGCGTTGTAAGAAACTTTTAAAAAGAGAGAGAGAGAGATCTCTGCAGGTTGGATGCGAATCAGAATAATCAGTAACTTTATAGTTAACAGTAAATCATTATCTCCTAGCTGTGTATTGCAAAATAGGACGGTGGTTAGCTGAGCTGAGCTGAGCCCCTAAAATCCCCGTCGTCTAACCAATCCAATGCGACAAATTATCGACAAACAGCGCTCGCGTTAGAGTCGATCCTGTTGGCAAGGTACTGAAGGAGGGCTGTGACAGATTTTGCAAGCGCATAGTAACATGCAACTACTGGACCAAAAGATTCACTCACCAGCTGCTGACTGCTGAGACGCACAGTGCAACGCAATCATGGCGCTTGTTGCTGTGCAGACTTCGCCCTTTTCCGGGTTTGGAGTTAACCATTTCAGTGGCGTGCCAAATATTTTCTGCAGCATAAAAACTCCTCTATAACAGCGCACTTATAATTCAAACTGCACATAAATCCATACCGAAATGAAAACTATTGGCGTTTTAAAGCGATTTGACAGGTTTCTCCTTGAAGATCGGGATGTTTACGTTTTTAGCCCTGCGGGTAATTTGCAGAGGATCCCTGCTTGTCTGTTGGGGGAGGGGCTGTTGCTATGCAAAACATT